TCCCAATTGATGTGTAGCATAAATGATTTTAAAACATGTCTTTCATTGCCTTTTACCCAGTAGTTCAAGAAACTTATTTTATTTTCTTTTTCTTTTTTTTTTTGAGACCGAGTCTTGCTTTGTCACCAGGCTGGAGTGCAGTAGCTCAATCTCAGCTCACTGCAACCTCCACCTCCTGGGTTCAAGCAATTCTCCTGCCTCGGCCTCCTGAGTAGCTGGGATTACAAGGAATGTGCCACCACATCTGGCTAATTTTTTTGCATTTTTAGTAGAGATGGGGTTTCACCGTATTGGCCAGGCTGGTCTTGAAATCCCAACTTTGTAACCTGCCTACCTTGCCCTCCCAAAGGGCTGAGATTACAGGTGTGAGCCACCGTGCCCTGCCAAGAAGCTTATTTCTTAATGAAAAAAAAATTAGGCCAAATGCAGGGGCTCACACCTGTAATCCCAGTACTTTGGGAGGCTTCAAGGGTCACTTGAAGCCAGGTGTTTGAGACCTACTTGGTCAACACAGTGAAACCCTGTCTCTACAATTTTTTTTTAATTAGCTGGGAGCTGCGCGTGGTGGCTCACACCTATAATCTCAACACGTTGGGAGGCTAAGGTGGGAGAAATGCTTGGGTCCAGGAGTCTAAGACCTGGAAAATGTAGGGAGCCCCCACCTCTACAAAAAATACAAAAATTAGGTGGGCATAATGGTGCATGCCTATAGTCCCAGCTACTTGGAAGGTTGGGTGGGGAGGGTTGCCTGAGCCCAGGAGATTGGGGCTGCAGTGAGCTATGACCACCCCACTGGACTCCAGCCTAGGTGACAGAGTAAGACCCTGTCTCAAAAGCAAAACAGAACAAAGTAGAAAGAAAAAAAAAAGTAAACTTTTATCAAGATGAAAACTATGACAAAGCACTGGAGACCCTATTATTATAGTGCCTTTCCAACAGAGAAAATGAAAATGGACTTAATCCACTTCTTATACCTAGTTTGCTTTCAAAGCAGTATATGCCTTCACTTCTCAATCATTTATCAAATCAATAATGCTCAGCAAGTAACCTATACTTGACTGGCAGAGTTTCTTTTGATCATCTATTCAAAATAAGAACAATGTAAGCAACTGTGTTTAGATTTTTGTAGCATTTCTGGGCTCCTCCCGTAAACCGAATGCCCAAACACTGGATTTTCTTTTCCCGGTCTTCCTTCCTCAAATCCTCTTTGCAAAAAAGACTAAAACAGAAGGACTATAAAGTGATAGCCTTGCATTTTTAGAGGAAGATGGTTGAGTGGATTTTAAATTATAATTGACTAATTAAGATGTACTGAAAAATTAATTATACCATGTCAACAATATAACACATTAGAAAAAAGAGGAAGCAACTCACCCAAATCATTTTAAACTTAAGAAATTCGCAGGCCGGGCACGGTGGCTCACGCCTATAATCCCAGCACTCTGGGGGGCCAAGGTGGGTGGATCATAAGGTCAGGAGTTCAAGACCCCCTGGCCAATATGGTGAAACCTCACTCTACTAAAAATACTAAAATTAGCTGGGTGTGGTGACAGGCACCTGTAGACCCAGCTACTTGGGAGGCTGAGGCAGAAAAATCACTTGAACCCAGAAGGCAGAGGTTGCAGTGAGCTGAGATCGCACCACTGCACTCCAGCCTGGGCGACAGACTGAGAGACACTGTCTCAAAAATAAAAAATAAAAAGAAAAGAAATTGGCAATCAATTCTTTTGATTGATTGATCATTTAGCCTAGGCGCAGTGGCTCATGCCTGTAATCCCAGCACTTTGGGAGGCCAAGGCAGGGGAATCACTTGTGGTCAGGAGTTCAAGACCAGCCTAGCCAACATGGTGAAATGCTGTTTCTACCAAAAAATACAAAAATTAGTTGGGCATGGTGGCACAAGCCTGTAGTCCCAGCTACTTGGGAGGCTGAGACACAAGAATCGCTTAAACCCAAGAGGTGTAGGCTGCAGTGAAGATTGCATCACTGCACTCAAGCCTGGGTGACAGAATGAGACCCTATCTCAAAAAAAAAAAGAAAAAAAAAGGAAATTGGGAATAAAGGCATCTGTAAACCTGTTATCAAATGAAGTAATAGATTACCAAGTATAATTTCCAAAAAGTAGAACTATCACTTAATCATCCTTTCAAATTTGTAAAATGAATCATTCATATAAGGAAAAATATCACTCTCGATAGGCTTCCTTCCAGTAACAAACTTTTTCCAGAACAGTAAAACAGATTAGGAAAATTCATTGGTTACAACTACAATGAATCAGTTGGGTACAAAAATCTCTTTTGGGAGGTAGGGAGCCAGGATTTTACTGTTGCCTGGGCTGGTTTGAACTTAGGTGATCCTCCTGTCTCAGACTCCCAAGTAGTTGGGACTACAGGTGTGTGCCACTGGGCTAACAGTCTTTTAATTCTATCAAATTTCATTAAATCTAAGACACCTGTAATTACAAAATGCATTATTTCATGTAACAACTAGGAAAAATCATGGCATAATGCTTACTTATGGTATCCCGTCTTCAAGGAAGAAGGAAAATTGTCTACCAATGACTAACAATGATAGAGGCAGGAGACAGACAAATGCCTGGGTAGATAGGGGCACATCTCCAGTTAAACCCCATCTCCAACCAGAAAGAGTTTAAAGCCTGAAAGTCAAGCTACAAGTCAAGTCCAGGGACCAGACTGAGATCGTGTCTTCCCATTTGGCGTGCTTTCCTCTGATTGATCCCCACCCATCATCTATTTTACATATACCTACATTTTCCTAATTGGTTTTCTACACTGTCATGCCCACTTTTGAGTGGTGTCTTTAACTTTTTTTTTGAGACAGCATATCACTCTTTCGCCAAGACTGGAGTACAGTGGCACGATCTCAACTCACCACAACCTCTGCCTCCCAGGCTCAAGCCATTCTCCTGCATCAACCTCCTGAGTAGCTGGGATTTCAGGCATGTGCCACCACACCCAGCTAATTTTTGTATTTTAGTAGAGACATGGTTTCACTATGTTGGCCAGACTGGTCTCGAACTCCTGACCTCAAGTGATCTGTCTGCCTCAGCCTCCCAAAGTCCTGGGATTACAGGAGTGAGACACCATACTCAGCCTTTCCTTTTTTTAACCCTTTGCATACTCAGAAACCAATCAGCACATACTCCCCATACTTGAGTTCATAAGAAGTCCCCGATCCAGCCAACTGGGAAAGAAACCACTGACTGTGAGGGTGGGGGACCACTCCCTCAATGCCCTCTTCCCCGAGAGCTGTTCCGTCACTCAATAAAATTCTTCTCTGCCCTCCACACCCTTCAAATTGTCAGTGTAACTTCATTCTTCTTGAATGAGAGCTCAGGAACCGCCAAATGCAGTACAAGCTGTAACACTGGCGGGCAGAGTAGGGGCAGGGGTGCATCACCAATGGTGGAGGTCCCCTGTTAGCAAAGTGGCTGAGAAAAATCCTGCATCACCAATAAAACAATCCTGGATAGTAAGAATATCTATTACAATAAGTACTCCAACACAATTCCTAATCTGTTTGAGCCGTTAAGATAAATGAAAGCTTTTAAGGAAATACATGTATAACTAATTAAATGAAAGGCACCTCCAAAAGTGGATCTTGAAATTAAAAGCCACTATTCAGTGGTGAAAATGATGAAAACATATGTAAAGAGCAATAGTTAATACTATTGCTTCCCGTTTGGCACACTTTTTTTTGTACTTTTGGGCACAAAAGTCTTTTTGGGGGTAGGGAGCCAGAATTGTATTATGTTGCCTGAGTTACTTTGAACTCAAGTGATCCTTCTGCCTCAGACTCCCAAGTAGTTGGGACTACAGGTGTGTGCCACCTGGGCTAAAATCTTTTAATCTTACCAAATTACATTAAATCTAAGACACCTGTGATTATAAAATGCATTATTTCATTTGACATTGGGAAAAAAGCTGCCAATTAAGCTATGGTATAATGCCATAAAGGACCAGAAACAGCTGGTCTTTCAGGAGATGAGAAGTTCACTTCATACTTAAGACAAAAGGTGCAGTGTAGTGCAACATTCCATCCCACCTGCTACACTAACAAAACTGGCTCTACTAGACAACATCCATATTTGAGAAACATTAAGTACAATAAAAGAAAAATCACATATTTAAAACTGACAGAGGGGAAAAGTATTTAATTTACATAAAAAATAAAAATAAAAATTAGTTGGGCACTGTGGCTCACACTTGTAATCCTAGCACTTTGGGAGGCTGAGGAGGGCAGATCACAAGGTCAGGGGTTCAAGACCAGCCTGACCAACATGGTGAAACCTCGCCTCTACTTAAAAATACAAAACTTAGCCAGGCGTGGTGAGACGCACCTGTAATCCCAGCAACTTGGGAGGCCGAGGCAGGAGAATTGCTTGAACCCGGGAGGTGGAGGTTGCTGTGAGCCAAGAGCATGCCATTGCACTCCAGCCTGGGAGACAGAGCAAAACTCCGCCTCAAAAAAATAACAAAATAAAAGTTGAAAGCTAATAGAGAATCAATAACTTGGGTTCTTTATTCCATTTCCAAAAATAATTTGAGCCAGATTCAAAATTGTCAGCACTACACCAGGTTTTGTCAATTTCAATGAACATGAGATATTTTTAAGTCTCCAATTCAATATAATTCATGCTAAGTTCTTTAAGTACTATTTGATATCCCAATGATTTTTTTATTACTTCCACTTTGGGGACAGTCTTGTGACAGTCTCTTTTGAGAGTGGTCACTCCTAAGTTTGCAAGATGCCTTTCCTCCAAATCTTACCACTTTCAGAATTTTGCTAGAGACTTATTAATTAACCAAAATCCAGTTTGCCAGCTCCTCAGCTAACAAAAAGTTATGTTTTGAGACAACTTTTAGGGAAAAGTGGCAAATCTCTAGAAAACAAGTTGACTTCAGGACTCTTCAAAAGAGAGTCTGTTTATTCAGCAAAACCCAAGGGCCCAGAACAGGTCCCCACTCAGGTGGTCTTACCTGTAAGGTAACCAAGCTGGCTGTGGTGGCCAGGTCAATCTTCCCAAATTTGCTGAGATTTCCAGGAGAGTTAGAAGGAAGAGTGAACGCCTTCCTTTGGCTTAGGGGATTTTCTCTAAAATTCCTTCTCTTCTCCCTCTTAACTATTAGCTTACGGCCAACCACCGTCGCCACAGAAATCACAAGAGTTTAGGCAAACGAAAAGCAAGTTCTGCCCAGCCTTTTACAACATCTAAGGCACAACAACACATACTAGGACAACAAATTACCAATAATGACTAAGGCACAGCATTCTCTTCAACCTCTAAAGAAAAGTCCGTAATGTCTTCTACTTAACACAAGTGAAAAATACGAGAACATGTTTTGGAATATTTTTGCTTCAATTTTTCAAGATGAAGAGTTTCTTCTATTAATTAACGTTGACCAGAATTAGAGGACACTACTTAGTAACCAACACTTTACTGTGCTTTCACCTAAAATTTTTCCTTCAAATTATTTAGGATTTGTCATCTGTTCAGAAAATTAGTTTCCACATTTCATTATGCCAGAATGCGAACTGACTTAATAATAAATGGCCATTTTTAAAGGAAAAAACCAACCTCCCACTCCCCTTAATTCACTGCCTTTTATTATTTACATACAAATCTGTTCTCCAAACAGAAGATGGGACAGGAGTGTCTTATCACCGCATCCCCCACAGCTCCTCGCACGAAGCATGGGAGTAGGGGGCATTCAGTAAATGCCTATTAAACACTTCAGTTCTCTCATAACAAGTTGGGGCATTCCAAAACCCAGGCTCCACCCCTACAGGGTCTGCCGCCGGCTCCCGATGGCAGTCTGCCTATGGCCTTGCTCTGGTGAAACCTCGTCACTCAAGACCCAGGATGGGGGCAAGGGAGCCGTCCGACCCCATCCAGCAGGGTAGCAGATCCTCTCTTCATCCCGCCAGGCCTTTGGGCCTAAGGCCTTTCCCACCCGGTTCGGTAACCTGCGTCGCCAGACCGGGATCCGCAGGGGTACCAGCCCCCGCCCCACCCCACAGACAGCCTGGCTTCGGGACACCGGGGACGCCTGCGCAGAAGAACCCGCCTGGCCCCTTCGCTCCGACGGTAACAATGCCCCCTCAGAAAGAAGGGCAGGGTAGGCTTGGGACACCAATACACGTCTGCGCGCTCCCCGACGCCTTGGCGCGCCCCTGGTGCTCAACCTTCCCCACGTGAGCGCGCCCGCCATCACGACACTCGCTGACGGGGTCCCCTCACCTGAGCCGGGTTCCGCCCCCCACCTCCTCGCTGAAGGAGGCGGTGACCCCTCTCCGTTCGGACTTGGTAGTGTCAGACGAGGTTGGAACGTCCAGACTGGTGTCTCCGTTAAGAGACTTCCTCCCTGTTCCGCCCGCCCCCCTCCCACCCCGCCTCTAGTCCCCTAGCTCCTTCAGCCGGTTCCCGGAGACAGTCTGAGAACACCGCGGCGGCGCCCGATAAACGGAAGTGACGTAATGCACGAGCGCCTACGCCGCTCCATTCCTCCTCCCCCTATTGGGCTGCAACCAATCACCAAGGGGAGGGTGGGGCCGAGGTAACAGTGCAGCCAGCCAGTGCGCGGAACCGGAGGAATTTACTCGGCCCCCAGAAAACTGACCAATCGACGGTCCCAGGAGCCTGATGGTGTTTACTACCAACTGAATCCGTGAGCCTCTGACCAATCATCCTTTGCCTTACAACACGTAAAACGGTTATCAAATGCATTTTAGGGAGGGATTTATCACTAAGCTGCTATAGGTTTGGACTACAGAACTGCAACTGTTCGCTGCAGCCAATCTGTGGTTGCCCTCTGTGGTTGAGGCAAGCGGGCTTTCCGCCTAATCCTTCCAATCACAACAACGACTGCCTAAGGTCTGAGATCGCCCATGAGGCGGGCCCTCAGGGCAGGCCGTCCCGCCATTGGCTGATCCTGAAGGATTTTCCACCCTCGTGGTGCCCAGCACTTCAGTAACCCTAGGCTCCTCTCCAGGTGAATTCCCTTCGCAGAGCCCACATACTTACGGGGTTGAAGATTGAGTTCCCACTTAGTAGACGTTGGGAAAGAGAAGATTCCAAGAAGCTCTTTAGTTCGAACCAAGCCAAAATCCACGGTAAAATCGGTTAATAAAAAACGTCCTCCATCGGATGACAGTTATGTCGGACCCCGCCCCTCGTCCAGTCCGGGTGGCGGCGCGTCTGGGAACCCTGGCGCCCAAGGAACCTGGCGCTTGGCCCCACACTCGGCTGCAGGTCAAATAAGCCTGTGGTGTCCATGCCAGACTTATAATCACCTGCACCCCGTAAAAACAAAATAGGAAGCGCTAAGCTCTCCCACTCCTTCCCAAACGCGGAAGGGTCACGGACTTGTGTGGGACGCGGTCAGAAAAGAGCGAACCCCAGTGCGACCCTTGGGTTTCCAGTGCACACTCGGAGGGAGAACCCGAGCCATGAGCATTGGGCACTGGGGCCAGGGAACAAGCCCCCTTTCCTCGGATGAAGACGTCAGAAGAGAGCTGCCTTTTCCTGCACAGCTTGTCTGGGGGCTAGCTCTGCGTGGCTCCGGAGACAAAGATAGGCTCGCGAACGCGGCTGGATTCTTCTGGGAGGTGGGGGGTGAGGGTCATGGGAGAAGCGCCCTTAAAAATGGAACTCCCGAGAGGGCACGGTGGCTCACGCCTATAATCGCAGCAATTGGGGAGGCCGAGGCGGGCGAATCGCTTGAGGTCAGGAGTTCAAGACCAGCCTGGTCAACATGCTGAAACCCGGTCTCTACTAAAAATATCAAAATTAGCTGGGCGTGGTGGCGGGCGCCTGTAATCCCAGCTACTCAGGAGGCTGCGTTTGTAATGAGCCAAGATCGCCCCGTGATCAGAGTGAGACTCAGTCTGGTGTGGAGGGAGGGGAAAGGAACGCCCCGCTTTACAGAATTGAATACACCGAATACCCTTATGGCTGCTTCTATTCATTCATTTACCAGTCGGAAGTATTGATTTCAAAAAGCAACTAGTGGATTTCTTTAAGGCCTAGGTGGAGTCTGATGGTTAATCTATTCCTTAAGATTCGCTGACACTCTATAGCCATCACACATATTTTACTACCAGATTGGGCGGTAAAATAAGAAAAATACGGAATGCTGACAGTAAGCCAGTCAATACGAGAGATCCTTTTGTGTATGTGGCTCTCAACAGTAAATGCCATGACCTAGATTGCCTCAGATTTACAGGCTGACAAAAGTTTAAAAAGTTGTACATTCAGAATTTAGGAGTGTGTGGCAGTGGACACCTGCTATATAGTGGACCAGAGTATCACTGATGCCCTGTTTGACGATCACTTGGTAGTATCTATCAAAATTTAAAATATGCAGCCGGGCATGATGGCTCACGCCTGTAATCCCAGCACTTTGGGAGGCCAAGGCAGGTGGATCACGAGGTCAGGAGTTTAAGACCAGCCTGACCAAGATGGTGAAACCCCATCTTTACTAAAAATACAAAAAATAGCAGGGTGTGGTGGTGGGCACCTGTAATTCCAACTACTCAGGAGGCTAGTGCAGAGAATTGCTTGGACCCAGGAGGCAGAGGTTGCAGTGAGCCGAGATTGCACCATTGCACTCCAGCCTGGGCAACAGAACGAGACTGAGTCTCAAAAAAAAAAAAAAAAAAAAAAATATATATATATATATATATATATACACATACATACATATTTAAAATATGCATTAGTTTCCTTCTAGCTGGCAATTCCTTTCTAGAAATGTATACTACCAAAATACACAGATGTGGAATAATAAAAATACAAGGCTGTTTACCACAGTTTTGTAAGTCCAGGGTGGGCATGGGGGGAGAACAAATTTAAATGTGCAACTACAGAAGATATAAAAAATTTGATAAATATGTATTATGGCTCCTTCATTACTAAACCTCCTGTAGATACAAAAATAATAAAAACCTGTGGCCAGGCGCGGTGTCTCATGGTGTAATCCCATCACTTTGGAAGGATAAGGCAGGCAGATCACGGGGTCAGGGGTTTGAAACCAACCTGGCCAACATGGTGAAACCCTGTCTCTACTGAAAAAAAAAATAAAAAAATTAGTTGGGCATGGTGGCAGCCACCTGTAACTCCAGCTCCTCAGGAGACTGAGGCAGGGGAATCACTTGAACCAGAGAGATGGAGGTTACAGTGAGCAGAGATCAGCCACTGCACTCCAGCCTGGGCAACAGAGCAAGACTCCCTCTCAGAAATAAATATATAAATATAAATAAAACCCACATGCGGAGGTACATGTAAAAGTTTGTGAATGTGAGGGGGACGGGCCAAGACGGCCAAGAGAGGCAACACCAGAATGTAGGCCCCAGTGAATGAGACACAGAGGGCTAGAGGAATTCACGATTCCAAGCAACCTGCAGGGTTCGCTTCAGTGGGACTGGTAGGTCACTGAAAATAGCCCAGGGAAGGCGAACCAAAGCCAAAGCAGAGCGAGAGCAGCCCAGGGAGGGTGAACGAAGACAGGGTGGGGTGCGTTCCCATCTGGAACATGCAGTCAGCTTGGAGGGTTGGGGACTTCACCCCCTCAGTGCTCCGATTAGGATCCTGTGTTTCCCTCATTCCTCCTGTAACCCACCGTCCACAGAGCCCCACCAGACTGAGGGGCACCATGGGTTATCAATGCAAATCTGAGTGAGGGCTCGCCTGGTGCCGCAAGTTGTTGGCAAGGACCTGGGCGGAAGTTTGGACTAATGCCAGCGGGATGGAACTACCAGTCCCACAGAAAGAGGCAGAATTGAAAGCAGGGAAACAGGCCATAAGGCCTGCAGGCCCCACCCCCACAAAATTCAAACTGAAGCCAGTACGCTACAGAGCTTCATAGTGAATATACCAGTTTGACCCAAACTGGGGAGATTGAGCTTGGGGAAGGAGAGTCGCCAGTGAGAAGGCGGGGCTAATCTCACCCTTGTAAACAAACTACAGGAGGAGACCACCCACCCAGCAGCCAGACTGAATCCGAGGCAGCCCAGTAGCGCCTCTACAGGCCAAAAAATATATAGCTCCAACCTCAACAGAAAGGGTGTCCACTCAAAGAGAGTCCTCCAGAAATCACCAACTTCAAAGATCAAAGGGAGATAAATCCAACAAGATGGGGAGAAACCAGCGCATCAGAAACAATGAAATCATCAAAGACCAGAACACTTCTTCTCCTCCCAGGGATCACAACTCCTCACCATCAAGGGAACAAAACAAGACAGAGAATGAGTTTGATGAGTTGACAGAAGCAGACTTCAAAAGATGTGTAGTAACCAACTTCTCTGAGTTAAAAAGACCATGTTCTAACCCAGTGCAAAGAAACTAAGAACCTTGAAAAAAGGTTAGATGAAATACTAACTAGAATAACCAGCTTAGAGAACATAAATGACTTGATGAAGCTGAAAAACACAGCACAAGAACTTTGTGAGGCATACACAAGTTTCAAAAGCTGAATCAATCAGCAGAAGAAAGGATATCAGAGACTGAAGATAAAAATCAATGAAATAAAATAAGAAGGCAAGATTAGAGAAAAAAGAGTGAAAAGAAATGTACAAAGCCTCCAAGAACTATGGATTATGTGAAAAGATCTAATCTATGCTTGATTGGCATACCTGAATGAGACAGGAAGAGTGAATCCAAGCTGGAAAACACTCTTCAGGATATTGTCCAAGAGAACTTCCCCAACCTAACAAGGCAGGCCAACATTCAAATCCAGAAAATACAGAGACCACCACAAAGATACTCCTCAAGAGGAGCAACTGCAAGGCATATAATTGTCAGATTCACCAGGGTTGAAATAAAGAAAAAATTCCTAAGAGCAGCCAGAGAGAAAGGTCAAGTCACCCACAAAGAAAAGACCATCAGACTTACAGTGGATCTCTCTGCAGAAACCTTATAAGCTAGAAGGGAGTGGGGGTCAATATTCAATATCCTTAAAGAAAAGAACTTTCAACCCAGAATTTCATATCTGG